GTGGGGGTTTCTGCAGGTGTTGGGGAACACCATACAGCCCCGTCTTAGTCACTGCTCACCCCGAGGCGGGCTGCGGGGGGCGCAAGCTGTTTACACGGGAACAGAGTGAACCTGGTGGGCTGGCCTCCCCTGGGGGCAGGTGTCCTGGCTCTGCAGCTTGGCACTGGCAGGCCTGGGCCAGTCACGGAAGCAGAGCGAGACGTGGGATGGGGCCCTTGAGCTGATCCAGCCCAACCTTGGTTTATGGAAAGCGAGGAGCCAGCCCTGGACTGCAGAGCTAAGGAAACGCACGTCTTACAGCCCTGAGATCCAGTTCCCTCCATGAGTGCCTTCCAGCGTCTCACAAAGCCAACGGGCATGTGAATCAACTAAGCCTCTTGCTCAGTCACGGGTGGTTCTGGAGTGAGACCCTGCTCCTGCCTTCCTAACAAGCCTCCAGGTGCCGGCTAGAATGGGTCTAGACGGGAGGGTCTCGCAGAGATCACCCGGCTACAGCTTGCAGCTGTACTGAGATGTACCGACTTAGTGCACCAGCCACTGAGTAGCCCCCAAGGGGATGGAGCTGGCAGTCGCCACGGCCACCCCCTGAGTCTGTGCTGGAGAGGCAGGTCCTGGCTGGCGGCTGTGCGTCTGTCCAGGTGGAGGACCACCACTGTAGTAATTCCTGCAGGCTTCCTCCCTTCACAAGGCGTGAGTGGGTCATCGCTGAAGCCGACGCCTTTACGGCAAGCGCTTGGGGATAGGGAACTTCGCTGTGTGAGGTCTCCCGAATACGGAGCAAGTTCCACTCACACAGGGAGCATTCGCCAGGCCTTACTAACATCCTCACACCCGCGTGAGAACTACAAAGCCGACTCAGGTGGCTACCCAGCGCACACGGGTGAACTTGAACTAGACTTCAGGGCTCCCGGGGAAGCGGGAGCATCATCAAGTGACAGTGAAGAGCTCGCAGAGTTGACTGCTCTCTGGCAAGGGACTTACTTGCACAGAAGATGGCCTGGCTCCCTAGGCAGCTCTCATTAGGTCAATGGCAACGACAGCTCCCAAAGCCCCACAGCGGACTTTGTACTTTAAAAGTTATCACGTGGCCGGTGCTGTGGCAGAGTAGGTTCAGCCTCTGCCTGCACGGGTGCCAGTTCGAGACCCGGATGCTCCACTTCCGATCCAGCTCTCTGCTATGGCCTTGGAAAGCAGTGGAAGATGGCCCAAGTCCTTGGGCCCCTGCACCCACGTGGGAGACCTGCAAGAAGCTCCTGGCTCTTGGTTTCAGCTTGGTTCTTTCTCTCTTTCAAGATTAATTTCTTTATTTGAAAGTCAGAGTTCCAGAGAGAGAGAGTGAGAGATGTTTCATCTGCTGGTTCACTCCCCAAAGGGCTGCAACAGCTGGGGCTGGGCCAAGTTCAAAGTTGGGTACTCCAACATGGAATGCAAGTGTCCCAAACCTGCATCTTACCCACTGTGCCAAAACGCCTGCCCCTACGCAATACTCTTGGTCACAGGGATGCTGCCCGAAGCAGTGCCTGTCCATCAAGTCCTTGCCCTCCTCCACCTCCTGTTATTTTTAAAAGAATAGATTAAATTGAGTCACTGCTAAACTCAGAAACAAATACTAGAAGCAAGGCCCAGGGCAGTGGTTCGGTGGAGTGGGCGAGGCCAAAGCTAGGTGCTGGGAACTCAAGCCAAGTCTCCCGTGTCAGGGGTGGGGACCCAGCCTGTGGGACCACCCCTGCTGCCTCCGTGACCACCAGTTTCACAATCACCGGGGGACTTAACTAAAATGCAAACTGTCAGTCCTTAGCCCAGGGACTCTGGGGGTGGGGCCCAGCGTTGAACAAACTTCAGGTGTTTCAAACGCACACTGGAGTTGGAGAACACTTGGGCAACAAACAGGAACTGAAATTCTCCTTCCTCCTTGGGCTTTAGGGGGCAGAGTGGAGGGGTGGAAGGGAAAGTTTGTCTTTAAAACAAGAACTGTTTCCCAAGTCCCCTTCTTTCTGGAGGGTGACTTGCCCTGCTTTGGACTGCCTTGGGAACGCTTGCACAGGGGATTCCGCCAAATCCAAGACTCGTGGTGTCCCCACTGGAGGTGCCATTGGCTCACTGCTTATCATTAACCTGGAAGATCACTGCTTAATTCAGAGCAGAAAAAAAAGCCCTGACAATTAGCCTTATTTCCAGGAAGGGAAATTGATCCTTAAATAGTTTAAAGAAATTCCTTATACTTCCTCTTTTTTTTTTTTTATTCCCTTAAAGACTTGAAATCCTCTTTAGACATTAGCATGTATCAGTCCAGAGAGGCAAACGCCTTCTTTAGTTTTCTGCGGAGATATTTCATTGCTCCGAACGCTCTCTGAACAACCTGTATGGAACTTAGCTGGAGCCTGCACCTCTGTCGTGAGACAGGACATCTGTCCTGAGTGACTTGGTCATTGCTTAGTTTTCACCACACTCTGCGCTGCCTAAAACCTCCACTGTGGGGCCGGTGCTGTGGCATAGCGGTTGAAGCCACTGCCTGCAGTGCCGGCATTCCTTATGGGTGCCGGTTTGAGTCCTGGCTGCTCCACTTCTGATCCAGCTCTCTGCTATGGCCTGGGAAAGCAGTAGAAGATGACCCAAGTCCTTGGGCCCCTGCACCTGCATGGGAGACCCAGAAGAAGCTCCTGGCTCCTGGCTTTGGATCAGCAAGGCTCCAGCCATTGCAGCCATTTGGGGAATGAACCAGCGAATGGAAGACCTCTCTCTCTCTCCCTCTCTGCCTCTGCCTCTGCCTCTCTGTAACTCTGCCTTTCAAATAAATAAATAAATCTTTAAAAAAAAAAAAAAAAACCTCCACTGCACTTGGCCGAGACCTTGGAGCCTTGTCAGTGTTCACATTCTGCATATGTGACTTACGATATGGAAGATCTGGAGACCGGAATGCATTTCCCTGGCTACTGTCACTCAGCTTTGAAAATGGAGGTGGCAGGAGTCTCCTTGGAATTGAGGCCCTGCTTCAGAGCTTGACCAAACATAGTGACAAGGTCAAAGTTGGGCAGGACCCCCAGCTGCCTCCCAGAGTCTGCACTGGTATGAAGCTGGCGCCAGGAGCGCGAGCCAGGAATTGAAGCAGGCACTCTGATAGGGATGCAGGCATCTTAGCTGCTAGGCCAAATACTGTCCGCAGACATTTTTGTACCATAATAAACATATTTTTTTAAAATTTATTTAGTTTGGGGAGTCAGTTGGTTATTATGCTATTATTATTTTTTTTTTAAGATTTATTTATTTATTTGAAAGTCAGAGTTACAGAGAGAGAGGAGAAGCAGAGAGGTCTTCCATCCACTGGTTCACTCCCCAGATGGCAGCAATGGATGGAGCTGCACTGATCCAAAGCCAGGAGCCAGGAGCTTCCTCTAGGTCTCCCACGTGGGTGCAGGGGCCCAAGGACTTGGGCCATCTTCTACTGCTTTCCCAGGCCATAGCAGAGAGCTGGATCGGAAGAGGAGCAGCTGGGACTCGAACCAGTGCCCATATGGGATGCCAATGCTTCAGGCCAGGGCATTAACCCGTGGTACCACAGCGCCAGCCCCCTAAACTTATCTTTTAATTCTATTTGCCAGGGACTTAAAATATTTTTATTTTACTTCATATATATATATGGGGGGGAGAGAGAGAGGGAAAGAGAGACCTTCTGTCTTCTGGTTCCTCTCCAAATGCCCACAATAGCCAGGGCTGGGCCAGGCTGAAGCTGGAAGCCCAGAACTGCATCTGGTTCTCCTATGTGGGTGGCAGAGACCCAAGTACTTGAGGCGTCACTGCTGCCTCCCGGAGTGAGCTTTAGCAGGAAGCTGGCATTGGAAGCAGAGCCAGGACTCAAAGTCAGGCACTCTGATACGGGATGTGGGTGTCCCAAGTGGTCCTCATATTATCATCCGAATCCAGGCACAGGGGGATCTTGAAACATTAGTATAGGAGGTGAGCTCTGAGCTTAGCAGTTAGGATACTGGTTAGGATGCCCAGAGTACTTGGGTTTGACTGGCACTGGCTGCTGCCTCCAGCTTCCTGCTAAGGCACACAGGGGAAGCAGCAGGTGATGGCTCAGGTAATCGGCTCCTCTCACCAGCACGGGAGGCCTGGACTGAGGTCCTGGCTTCTGGCTTCTGGCCATTGTTGGCACTTGAGGAGCTAACTCTTGTGCACTCTTTCTCTACCTCTCAAATAAATAAATATGGAAAAAATTAGTATAAACTTTGGTTATTTTTTACTAGGACGTCAACTGAAAGAAATGACAAAAGATATATAAAGATATTAAAAAAAAAAAAAAAAAGAAAAAGATCAAGTTCAGGGTAAAGTCCCAAATTGGTGACTTTGCCCACTCATGGTGACTTAGATTGGTCAACAGTGGCCAAGAGAGGGTCAATATTTATTCACTGTGATAGCCAAGTCGAGATGAATATTCATTAAAGCCTACTTGAAGTGAATTACTTCAATGTTTCTCCTGGAACTTAATGAAGACAGCCCCGGGACAGACAGACGGGGTCACAGAGGTTATGGTGGAAGCAGCTCAGCTCCACGGCTCATGCCCTCAACTGGGCAGCGCAGCGTCTCAGCTGCTGGCCTGGTCCCAGCACCTCTGTGGGAATTATGGGAATTACGGGCTTCAGTGGAAGGACCAAGTAGGAAACGTGGCCCATCTGTGCACGCAGCCCCGGGCTGCGGTGCAGGGCTCAGGGGCAGAGCACAGACCCGAGTCCGGTCCTGCACGAGCTCCCTCTGCTGGACACATCTATACAGCATCAACAAGCACCGTCCTGGGCATGTGAGTCCCTCCCTCGTCCACCTCCTGTGCGAGTCGCCCTTGTGCGAGGAGCAGAGCGGTGGAGATGCCTGGGGGCCGTCGGTGAGGCCCCCAGTCTCCACGATCTCCCATCAGTGCGCAGCGTCTGGCATCGCCGAACAGCCCAGGGTGTATGGGACAATGGCCGTGGCGAGAGCACGAAGCCCGGCCCCACTACCTCTACCTTGGCCGTCCTGGTCGGCTCCTCCTAGGGGTCCTCCTGGTTCTTCGCTGGAGTCCAGTGCGTCGCCGCCCTGTGGGGTTAGCACACAACAGAGGCGGTGAGAGGAGGCCAGCGCCTCTGTGCACCACGCCTTGGGGTGAAAGGGATGCAGTTTGTTTGGTCGTTCCTTCTCTTCTTTGTCCTTTATTGCACCTGAAGTGAACCCGGGGCCTGGGACCCCGGCTCGGGTTTCTCTTCACATTTGGGGCCCTGCTCCCAGGCTCAGCACCACCCAGTGGTCCTCAACCCCGGCTGCACATGCCCATAAGTTAAGGAGTTGACAAACCAACCAACCGACCCACGACTCCCTGGACCGAATGCCCCACATAAAAATCCCACTCTGGAGCCGGGGTGTCTTTCAGCTTTTGAGGGGATTCCCAAAGATCGGCTGGGACTGGGAGTCACTCGTGAACCGAAGCCAAGAGGTATGGCCATGGTGGGTGGAGCTGGCGACCCAGTGGAGCCCCGCGTGTGTCGCTCGGACTCCTGCTCTGCCACAGAGCTGGCGTCCCACGCGCAGGGCCCTGGAAGTCTCCCCGAGACTTGGGGACAATCAATTCTGCACTCTCTCACCGGTGCCCAGCCTACCTCGGGAGGATTCGGCACCCCAGCCCCCTCGACTTTCGGCACTTGCTGGCTTTGGACCCTGCGGGCGTGGGTCTCTGTTGCTGATGCGATGCACGGACACACAAATGCTAAAGCAGGTAAATTACTGTCCTCCCTTTGGGCTTCTGCTTTTGGCGACAAAGCCGGTTTGCCCAAGGGGGAGGGGGAATTCCATCCTTGAATAAACGGAAAGATGTAAAAATACATACTGGAGGAAAACTTGCCTCAGTCACAGTAAACTACTTAGTCAGAAGCCTAGACAAGAGAAAACAGTTTAAGAGTCCCTGTTTATAAAGTCTTTTCATCTAACAGGAAATTGGATTGAGAGAGAGAGGCTGGCGTCCTCCTTTGGAAGAATTTCAAAGTCACAGAGGAGGAAGCTCCGGGCTCAACAACACGCAGCTACCAGCGTTCAGAAAGTCCACGGAGAATGTGCATTCTGAAAAACGAGGTGTGGGTTCCAATTTTTTGGCACTGAAATAAATAAACTTATCACTTAATTCCAGTTTTCCATGAACTTTAAAAAAATTATTGGTTTATTTATTTTCATTTTATTTTGGAAGGCAGAGAGACAGACAGACACAGAGTGGTCTTTCTTCCATCAGCTGGTTCACTCTCCAAACACCTGCAACAGTTAGACAGAGCAGGGCCAGGCTGAAGCCAGGAACTCAGAGCTCCATCTGGGTCTCCCACGTGGGTGGCAGGGACCTAAGGACTTGGGTCATCATCTGGTACCTTCCCAGGATGTCCATTAGCAGGACACAGGGTTGCAAGCAGAGGAGCCTGGACTTGAACTTGGATATGGGATGCAGGTGTCCCAAGTGATGACTCAGCCACTGCTCCAAATGCCTGCCCCTTCGTGATCTTTTTGGAGTGTACTCATCTCCTCATTTCACAGATGGGAAGATAGAGGCAGAAAGAGAGATTTGGAAAGAACCTTCAGGTGAGTCCTTATTAGGAAAAAATCCAGAATCCTAATTTGAAATTCTGTCCTTTCAGCGACACGCTACTTAAACAAGTGTCAAAAACCTCTTGTTCTTTTAGATACATGAATACACATGTGAATATAAATTATTTCACATGTGTATTCATTTATACTTAAGATCATTCATCACCAAACAACCTAAACATCCTGTCAGTTGAGGACTACTGACATAAATTTTGGTAATTTATACGTGGAATACTATACAACTATTCAAAAGAATAAGGCATTTCATTATGAATTAACATTGAAACAATTCCAAGAAATACCAAGTTTATAAAAGTAAGGCTCTGAACAACGTATATAAGGTGCTAAAATCTCCAGAAAATATCTGTGTGTATTTGCTTCCGTGAACATATGCTTTAGACAGCTGCAGACAGACCCCAGTGCCAGCGGCAGAGGCTGTGCGAGGACAGAAGCTGAGTGACTGAGGCATTTGCTGGCTCATGCTTACATTTTAAAAAGCCTTCTGGGACTATTTCAGATTCAAATTTTGGATTAACAAACCAAAGCTAAATGAGAATCTGTCACTTTTAATACGAGCTACAAATGCAGTCCTTAAACACAGCGACAGGGACACAGCTCAGATAGGTTGTGCATTGTCATCAGAAATGCCTGGGACCAGAAATGACTTGGGGTTCCTTGTATTTTGGAATATTTGAGTACACATAATGAGACATCTTGGGGATGGGGCCCAAATTATTGGGGGTGTGCCCTAACAGGGGACTATGGCAACCCAGTCTCTCTACTTTTTTTTTTTTTTTGCAGTCTCTCTGTATTTCTGTTTGGTGATGTATGTTCTTCTTCTTCTTCTTCTTCTTTTTTTTTTTTTTAAAGATTCATTTATGTATTTGAAAGGCAAAGTTACAGAGAGGAAGAGGCAGAGACAGAGAGAGAGAGAGATCTTCCATCCGCTGGTTCACTCCCCAAAGATGTTTGTTCTTACACACACACACACACACACACACTCCTGCCATGATGCACTACCATTTGCTACCCTTACTACATGACAAACCCATGCCCTCACCCTGCCTGATCTTGGACAACCTCTTCTCTGTATAAAATTAATTGCCTCGGGCATCTCGTTGTAGTAACACAAACCTCACTAAGGCACGCTTCCTCTGTTCTTTCAGCTAATGAGTGCTTGTAGAGTGTCTGCTGTGTGCCAGGCACCATGCCAGCCTTTGGGGTCACAAAACTACTCCCAGGCAGCTCACTGACTCCCGGGGCAACGACGAGAGATCTCTCAGTGGCAATGCAGTGTGATGGCAGATTATGACACGTGCCTGCAGGTTTGGCCAGGAAGTAGATGAGGTGCTGAGTTCTTGCAGCGACTGGGAAGGCAGGCCACAGCCCGTGAGCGTCGGGACCGGAGTGGCAGGGGTGAGGTCCTGGGTCCACCCTGCTGGCACTGCAGGCCTAGCTCTGATCGGCATTATGTCACATGCATCGCAGGGGTCTCCGTTTCTTCACTGCCAACTGACAGGTGCATGGCAAGTCATCTCAAGCCCTACTCTGTCCTTGGAGAATCTTCCAGCAGTTCTGCCCTCCAGCCTCAAGCCCAGCATATCATCTAAGCTTCCAGGCCCACAGCAGGCTAGAGAGATGGAGAGGAGAGAGCAGAGAGTGGCTTCGGATGCAGGAGTTGGCAGTCGGGGCTCCGGTCAGCCTCCAGCTATAGGCATGACCTATCATTGGAGCTCAGCTTCTCCATCTGTGAAGTGGGAGTGGTGGCAAATACTGCACAGAGTTCTTGAAAGGCTTAGCCAGGGAAACACATTTGGCAATTCCACGTAGCATACCACGTGACACACACATATACATTACTATGCTGTCTGAATGATGAAGAAAATCAGTATCTCATTAGACTTCAGGTAGTGTAACTTTTCCGGTGTATTCGAAAGACTTCACATCTTTTCTCTGATAAAGAAACCTGACTTAGGGAAATCATAAGCTACCTTGTGTTGGCAAGAGGAAAATGCATCCATCCCCAAATCTCTGCTCCCCGCTCGCACTCCGAAGCCAGAACAAAGATGCACAATTCAATTCTTCAGGACAGGAGAGATGGAGCTCACTGATGGCAGATTTGTGGGCTCTGTGGCTTTAAATCCTAGCTGCCTCCGCTGCTGGCCCTGTCACCGACCATCTCTGAGCCTCAGTTTCTTCATCCGCACAGTGGGGACCCGCACGCTAACCAGAAAGGCGGGTGGAAAGATGAAATGATCTTCAGTGTGCGAGGGGCCTGGCCCGTGGCAGGCATCAGTGGCTGTTTGTTCCTTTCTCCCTTATGAATTGAGTCCTTTATAGATGTGAATGTTCTTTGAAAACTATTATTTCCTGTAATTCTCACCTCACTGTCGGGAGGCAGGCACGGAGGTCCCAGTCTGATTATCTCCATTTTATTAGAGAGGAAACAGACTCCCAGGAGCGCTCCAAGGTCACTCGGTGTCACAGAAGACCAGGGCTTCCCAACTATCGGTAGGACACTTTAAGATTGAGAACGCTCCACTTAATTCTGGGCCTCTTTTCTTTAGGAAGTGCAGCCGACTCGCTATCGCAGGTAGCTTTCCTGGAAATATTAGTCAAGTGTCCTGGAATTGCTCAGTCTAGAAAGCAGCCCGTGATCCCTCGACGACTGTCTGTTAGCTGGAAAGCAAGTTTCAATGGCGCTGGGGACCGGACCTCAGCTCCGAGGCAGCCCACTCCATCTTTGGAGCCCGTGTTGAGCCACGCGTTATTTCCCTGCGGCTTCCAGTGACTACAGTCCATGCCGTTCCTCCCTGCAGAGACCCAGGGCTTAGTGGCAGTGGCGGTGACCCCCTGTGCTTGCTGGGATGTACTTGCACCTGCCGCACGGGTGAAACCGGGGGCTGAATCGAACTCAAAAGCAGGCAGGGGCTGCTGGGTGCCCTAACTCCAGGCACAGCTGGCTCTCAAGCCTGCGCCCAGGCAGGTTCCTCTGCCTACCCTGCACCTGAGGGCACCACGCGCCATGACAGCTGCGTGGTGGCAGCTCACTTCTCATTCTTCATGTCATCTAGGCACAACACGTGTCTCCCCTGACACTGGTGTATCGCTGTATTCAGTTCTGTAGCTCCCTTAATAGGCATCATTGCTATTTTCTTCCTTACCTTGATCATTTAAAAAGTTCCTGGGGCTAGACTGTGGTATAGTAGGTAAAGCTGCCACCTGCAACGCTGGCATCCCATAGGGGCTCCGGTTTGTGTCCTGGCTGCTTCACTTGTGGTCTGAGTCCCTGCTAATGCACCTGAGAAAGCAGTGGGGGGTGGCCCCAGAGCTTGGGCCCCAGCCACCCAAGCGGGTGACCCAAAAGAAGCTCCTGGCTCCTGCTTCAGCCCCAGATCTTGCAGCCATCTGGGGAGTGAACTGGTAGATGGAAGATTCTCTTTCTCTCTATCTCCCTCTCATTATGTAACATAAAAGGGGTTAATCACTTGTTTTCAGTGTTGTAAAGAGGTTTTAAACTCGAGGGGGAAACTATATGCTGCAACTGAGGAATGAATGAGGCTCTGAACATCTTCCTGCAGCAGATGGCAGGTACGCATGCACAGGTGGAATTGTCTAGGCGTACGCGGCTGCTTGACTGACAAGGCAGGCAGTGCTGCTGTTGTTGGGTGGGCCCCCCGCTGGGATCTGTTATCTGTTGGGTTTAGACTGAGACTGTGGGCCCCGGGGGCGGGCTGCCCAGCTTGGAACATTGTTTCTGCCCTGTCTCAACTGTACACTTGCAAAGTTACCTGACCCCCCAGTGCCTAGCAGGATAATGGCAGCTGCTCCTCAGATTTGTCTTGTGATTTCAGTGAGCTCAGAGGCCAGCACACAGTAAAAGCTCCCGAATGCTGGCAGTTAGGGCTGTTTGTGTCTTTCTCCATCCCCTTTCTCTGCCTCGTCTTTCTGCCTGCCCTCAGTCCTTGCGATGTGCCATGCTTCTGCGTGCACCAGGCAGAAAGGAAAGGTCCTGTGCACGGGCTGGAAAGGCACAAATGAAAAGCGTGAATGAGATGCTTTCTGCACAGCCCTGCAGGTGGACAGCCCACGTGCCCACCCTGAGCCCACCATCCTTGTCTGCACAACCCCGAGACTGTGTCTTTCTACAAGGGAATCCCTGAGGGCCCGGTGATATGGATAGCGGGTAAAGCTGCCACCTGCAGTGCCAGCATCCCATATGGGCACTGGTTCGAGTCCCGGCTGCTCCATTTCCGATCCAGCTCTCTGCTATGGCCTGGGAAAGCAGTAGAAGATGACCCAAGTCTTGGACCCCTGCACCCACGTGGGAGACCCGGAAGAAGCTCCTGGCTTCAGATCGGCATAGCTCCAGTCATTGCAGCCAATTGGGGAGTGAACCAGTGGATGGAAGATCTCTCTCTCTGCCTCTCTTTCTCTCTCTGGGTAACTCTGACTTTCAAGTAAATAAATAAATCTTAAAAAAAAAAAAAAAAGCAAGTGAATCCCTGAGAATCCAGGAGCTACCAGAAGGGAGTAGGTCCATAGAGGGAGAGCTGGAGACAGGGAACATTCCCAAGAGAAGGCGTGGTCTCTCGGGAGGGGCTTGGTCTGGGAGCAGCAGGCCTTGGAGTGTGGGATCAGCTTGAGAGACCACTCTTGCGAGTCTTCAGGAGGGCAGGGGGGAAAGGGGCCTGAGGAGAGACAACACCTGTCCTCATGTAACCCTGGGCCAAAGTGGCTGAAGGAAATGTGGAGAGCGGAAGCATTGCAAACATGAAATATACAGAACAATTCTTGTCAGATTCCCCTCTCAGAATCTTGCAGTTCTTAGGTGCTATAAATGTATTCTCACAACATCTTCTGGGCAATTGGCACCTTCTAACCACTCTCCGCTTTGATGATTCGCTAAGTTTACTGCATGTCACCTGCACTAGCCTGGAGCAGCGCCAGGATCTGGCACTGTTTTGTTCACGGATGCATCCCAGGGACCCAGCAAGTGTGAGACACACGGCAGGCAGCAGGTGCTCAAATACTGGTTAAATGAATGGAGAGTGAAAGTGATGACAACACCTCATGGGGAAGTACCAGCCACCATTCTTTTAAGTGCTAAGGGAAGAACTAATCTGTGGCTAAGAATAAAAGAGGTGGTTTCACAGGGGGTAAGTAACAGCATAGCAATATTGTGTTTTTGAATACTTAGAGTGAGCATCTTTTGTTTTGCGGCCCAGAGTGATTCTTCCTTCTCGCACTTTTAAGTCCCCATTTCCTTTGTGAGACACCCATTCTCAGTCTGTGTGCCCCCAGGGCGGGCCATGGATATTTCATTTTGGGCACAGGCAAGGGACTCTGGTAGGTTCACATTCCAGCTCCGGAATGACCCAGGGAAGAGAGGCTGGTGCCAGCGTCCAGCACTGTGGAAAAGGCTCCCTGAGAGGGAGCCCAGGCGAGCAGAGCCCAATGGTAGAGGGAGACAGCCCACTTAGGCAAGGGCGTGGCTGTTAACCCAAGCTACACCTAGCAGAGCCGGGATTGGGTAGATCTGCCGAGGGTCAGAGGCTGGGCCCCCTCTGGAGAGTGACCCCCACGGCTGCTCAGTCCCCTCCTGCCTACAGTACCAGCCAGTGCCACCATCAGGAACTCCGCAACTGTTGGTCTCTTCTCCACTGTTCCTGTCTCTGTGATCCACTTCTGATGGAGGCCCTGGGATGCTGTCCCTGGGGCTCCGGAAGCATCTGTGGTCCAGACCTGCCTCTGTTCCTGCCCAGCTTCTGGGACTTTATGCCTGCTTAGTTCCTGTCCAGTCACCTCCGAGGAGGACAAAGAATGGGTGGGGAAAGGGTCCTAAACCAGACAGAGGACTGTGGGATGACGAGGGTGCGTCAGCTCGCGGAGGGAGCACCTTCCAGGCGCCACGTGCCATGCGCCGGGGCAGGGGCAAAATGGCAAAGATGGACAAATGACTTCCTTCCCACAGGGACCCTCCGTACCCTTAGCTAGACACGAAGCCGAGCTGGGAGATCAAGGAACCCTCAGGGAACAGACAACAAGGCTGGCCCTCCAGAAGAGAATTTGCAGTCGACTTTAAATAGTTAACTCAAGAATCCGTCTTCCCCACAGTGGGCCTCTCGGCTCCACCAAGTTGCAGGAGCAGAGCAGTCGCCATTATTTTAGCGGCTGGAAGAGCAAATGAATCCTATTTGCCAGTTCCATGAGGCGGTTCAAAGTTACCCTCTCTCCTCTCTGTTCCCCGTCCCCTACCACCCAAACCAGACGCCCAACCGACTTGTCCCCGATGGCTGGCTGTGATTACCGTCCTAATTTGTTCGTTCTTCATGTGCTACAAACTGCCTATTTTCTGTCCCTTCTGATAAAGCAGGAGCTCCGAGGGACTTCTGAGGCTGTTTTTTTTGTACCATGCAGAAGTGTATTAACTGGCATGGCTGTGTCTGTGTCTATAAAACCCCCCGTCCGCTCAGTGTGAGATCACCTTCAGGAACGGCGTCATGTCGATGTGCAGCATGCGCGTGGAAAATTCTTTTCTGTTTGAACATATCGGCCCTTTATTTGTACAACTTTGAGGCTCTCCCGTCTTCTGAGCCGCCGCCTCCAAGGACTGCTGGGCTCCCTGTGAAGAGAGGCAGAAAGCCCGGCTTTCACAGGAATGATGCGGAGTGCAGCAAGAACGGCCCGCGGCCCCCCACCCGTGTTTATAGAAAGCAGTTTTTCCTCGTTGGAACACTAATGGTAACACCTATTTTTACCGCCGAAGACACAGGGCACCCACAGGGAATGAGCCGAGACTGGCTAATAACTACCACCTGGGGAAGTGGGGGAACGGGACCTTGCTGGGCCCCTGGTCCTGACTGTTTCACTGAATCCTCACAGCTCCGCGGGGCAGGTGTGGGTACCCCCATTGCACAGGTGAGGAAACTGGGCGGGGCAGGGGTGCTACAGGAGGTTAAGCAACTTGGCCAGAGCCATCCAGCTTGTACATGGCAGAGCTCAAATCCCCACATCTGCCCAAGCCTCCTTTTTCTTTCTTTTTTTAAAGATTTATTTACTTCAAAGTCAGAGTTACACAGAGAGAGAAGGAGAGGTGGAGAGAGAGATAGAGAGAGAGAGGTCTTCTATCTGCTGGTTCTCTCCCCAAATGGCTGGGGCTGCACCAATCCAAAGTCAGGAGCCAGGAGCTTCTTTAGGGTCTCCCATGGGGGTGCAGGAGCCCAAGAACTTGGGCCATCTTCTACTGCTTTCCAAGCCATAGCAGAGAGCTGGATCGGAAGTGGAGCAGCCAGGACTCCAACTGGTGCCCACATGGGATGGCAGTACTGCAGGCAGCGTTTTACCCACTTACGCCACAGCGCCGCCCCCCCCCCCCACTCCTTTTTTAATGAGATCTTCTGATGCTTATTTAGCTCCTTAGCAGCCCTGCTGTGGTGCAAGATCCCAGCTTATTTCCAAGCTGAACCTGTGTTGGGTGGGCTAGGAAGAGTGACTGAGCGAGTGTAGCAGACAGGAAGGAAGAATGGGCCAGCAGACCGGGCTGGTGCCCCAGGGGGCTCTCCTGCCTGTGGGCCTCGCTCTCTGGAGTGCTTCTTTCCAAGGTGGAAACTGACCAAGTCACTCCTCTGCTTAAAGCCTTCAGGACATAGGCCGAGCCGCTCTTAAAGGTCGACGAAGGCCTTGCTGTCCAGCCCTGGACTCTCTCTCCTGCCTTGTTCAGTCAACACCTCCAGCATCAGGTGCCTGCTCCAGGCCAGGCAGAGCGGGTGAGTGCCCGCAGCAGGGAGAGGAACGCTCCCCCTCCTGCAGGGTGCGCACCACTCCCCCGCGAGGGAAGTGAGAATCAGCACGGGAGAAGAACCAAGGCTAGGTCGCAGGTGACTCGCAGGTGACCCCAGACAGAGCAGCTGCCAGTGGGGGCGGCTGTTTTCTGTCGGAGTGAAAGATGGACTCCTCAGGACTCGAAGCGGGAGCCCAGCTTGGAGGCAGGGGCGGGAAGGTTCTTAGGGGAGGGGCAGCTGTCTACCGGAAGTGTAGCAAGTGCAAGGGCCCCCATCCATCCTGCCTGGGCATTCCTGGAGCCAGGCGGTCACCCGGGCATCCCTCTGCTGGGAACACTCCCCCCGTTCCCGTCCTCCTCAGCCTTCGGGGCTAGCCTGTGCCCCATACCTCCCAGACCACTGAGCACTTCCTGTTCATCCCCAGGGCACACAGGAACCCCCGCTCCCAGCAGTGCCGGGAAGTGGGCGTTTGCTGAACAAAAGAGCAATGGACAGACCTAGGAGCCCAGGACCCCAGAGCCCAGCCGCAGCCCCGGCCTGCCCCAGTTCCCGCGAGGGGCGGACAGTGAAGACACCTCTCAGGGAGGGCACGGGGACCTCCAGGAGCCTGGCTCCTCCTTCCCAAAGGGCAGTACTGTGTGTTGTTTCTTCGGCTGGGGTCTCACCCACCCTGTTCCAAGAGCTCCCCCTGGGCACAGAGTTGACCACGCCCCTGTCTCCTGGGGGGCGGGCTCTCGGCTGTTGTCCATCTTCCTGGGAAGCCTGGAGCTCTCCCTCCCTAACATTTCTGTTACTTGCAAGCGTTAGGGATGAATTAAGGGCTGGTGGGACCCCTAGGCAACCATCATTCCAGTGACCATCCACACCCTTTTCCTTTGTTTTGAAATGTGGCTGTAGATTTTTTTTTTTCTGGACACATAACTATCCAGGGTTTTGTCATCCCAGTCATATATCTGATAGGCTTCCCGGGGTGAGACAGCGCGGCCCTACTTCCAGATCAAACGAAAGCTTGGTTGGGTCCCAGTGAGAGCCAGTGTATTCCAGGCCTCCCACAACCACCACGCACATCGCTGGGTGCAACCACGGGGCCACACATGCTGCCTTAGGGGAGTCTCTCTGCAGAACCCCCCTGAGAAGATTTTGTGTTAGGCTGCAGGACAAAAGGCATAGCCAGGACCCATGCCAATGGCTGGAACGACTTTAACTCCTTATGGGGGGGCCCGGATGGAAGAGTGGGGAGTTGAGGGCCTTTGAGAGAAGTTTCTGCAAACCACTCAACCTGTAATTCTTCTGGTGAAACAATTCTCTCACTGGCTGGCTCATCTCCCCAGTGTCCAGGGGCCATCAAGTCTAGCTGGATGGATGTGTTCAGAGAAGGATCTCCGGCCACGGGGACATGCAGTACTGGTTTGTTTATTGTGTTCAAGTGTTCTAGGAGAACAAAATGACTGTGAAAGGGGTTGTTGGTTAGCGGAGAAGAAAGGAGAGATGAAACAGAGCAGATCGGGGAGGTGGCGGTAAGAGGAGGCAGAGTTGAAGCCAAGAAGGAAGTCTTGCATGTGGGTAGTTTTTTATTTGCTCATTTCACTGGTATTAAGTGAGCGCCTCGTACGTGTCAGACAAATGAGCATGGAAACAGGGAGGATGCTTTTGGACAGAGGCTAATCCGAGAGCGCAGGACGAAGGGAAGTGGGGAGGGGTGGCCAGTCCTCTGGGTGGTCAGGGAAGGCCTCTGTGAGGAGGTGACTTCGGGCCAGAGAGCTGGGTGACAAGAAGGAGCCAGTTGTGGACTGATCTATATTTAGCCTGGATCTCTGCAGTCGGCCGAGGTGGAGGCAAAGCCGGGTGGGGGTTCTTTGAAAACGAAAGCCAAATCCCTGACTCCTAGGCTCGCTGGGCCCCAGCCTCCTGCACCCCTTCCCTGGCCCTGCGAGGCACCCCTCTGTTTTCTGAGTGGCTGAGCAATCAAACAGCACTCACAGCTCCCGGGTGTGCTGAGAGCAAAGACAGCAGAATAAATAGCAATCAGGAGTCAAGGTCGCTAACGACGGAGGAGGGACAAGAAAACCCAGGTGAAATGGAAGGGAGCCGAGATGCCCACGCTTTTCCCTGTCTTGTATGTGTGCATTCTGGTGGGAATGAGGAAAAAAAAAACTGATGGAAGGGTGCAATATTTAACAGAAAATCAAAGCCCATCCCTTCACCTGTAAGGTATTGTGACTACTTTAATATTTTTATGTTCTGCTAAAGACACCTGGAAGCCTTCCTCTTTAGTAAATGAAACAAAGATTAATGAGCTAATTGGGTAAAGCTGATCTGGATTGCACAGAAGGCATTGCGCAAGTGCTTGGCATTTGAAAAGTTATCTGACATTTAAAAGGAGACGACGGTTAATGAATTCAAGAGCTAATCTTACACTCTGACCGAGTGAGCCATGGAAAATCCAGGATTATTATCTTGCCGTAAACATCATGTGATCCAGTTGAGCCATCAAAAGAGCGCTTTGGGCTGTGTACACACACACACACACACACACACACACAGAGAAGCAATACGTAGAGGACGTCCACTCGGATTAAATGAGTATCTTCTCGTTTCCTTCCTTACCCTTGGGTTGTGAGCTACACCACACACCAGGGAGAAACCCCACTTCCCCACCACCTTCCCACCTCTCCCAGCTTGTGTGTCCTGAAGGATCACTGCCGTGGGGGGAGAGGGACAGGCTCGCCAAGCAGGCTTGGGGCACCTAACCTTCAGAAAGACACGAGGTGCCACACCCACGGCTACGTCCCCACCCATGGGTCCCGCAGAGCCACCGACCACGGGGATCTGTGCCATAGGTGTCCCCAGAACCTCCCCTTTACTCCTCCCACTCCTAATTGGGGTCCCCATCTTTGTAGCTGCTGCTTAGTGGCCCTCATTGAGGCGGCCCCAGCGCTGGGGTGTCTAGGCGCCTCCCACACAGCTCACAATTTCATTCTGCCTGCGAGCGAGCTGCCCAGAGTGTCTGGGAATGTGTGGTTGAGCTGGAGGGAGACAGTGGGGTGGGTGGGACAGGGAGGCCCTCGGTGGGGAGGGGAACACACCCCACCATTCTCAGGGCCCCGGGAGCAGCTCCCATGTGCTCTGTCATGTCACACCCAACCCCTGCACACACAGGACATCTGTCCCCGCCTGTGAGAATCAGCCTCTCCTTCTGACCACAGGGCTCCGGGCTCCCGGGAGACAGTCCCTGCACATCCCGTGGGGCTTCGAGTCCCAGTGGGGATGGAGCCATCTGAGCGATTCAGTCACCGCACTGGGCTTCTGAGCGCCCCTCTCTCTCTCCCCCTGCAAGGGCTGAAGAGCCTGACCAGTTTCTCCGTTTGGCCTTCTCAGATCTTGCTCGTTCCTGACCAGGGCAGCCGACGGGCCTCAGAGTGGGCAGCAGGAACGGGGACGAGGGAGGAGTTGGCCGGTGCTGTGCTGGGATCAGGCTGGCAGGGGGGAGCGGGGCAGCAGGCCTGCAGCTGGGTATACACTGTAAATAAACCCCAGGCTGCTTTGCAGGGGGCCAGGCTGGGGCAAGGCCAGCCACCCTGCTGCCCTGGGGTCGCCACTCTAGGTTTCCCTGGCCTGGAGGAGGCAGAGGTGAGACAACACACCCAGTCTCAGCGCCACCCTCCAGCCTGCCCACTCAGCTCCTGTCTGAGAGCAGAAGGGACCTCAGGCCGCCACAGTAGGGCTCCAGCCGTCACAAATGTGCCCAGCTGTCCATGTGCAGCCTCCAGTTCTGGAAATCACGAGGGACTGGGTATGGGACTTGGCTTTTGCCAAGTTAGGAATCATTCTGTGCCTCAGT